GGAAGAGAGCGACAAATAGCCTTGGTCCTATAACCTGTATGCCCTGGGGTTGGAGGTTGCCCAGAGGCAGAGCTCGACGACGCTCCAACACAAGAGCACACAATAGAGCACAATATACTACCCGACCACTTGCACTTCTCATCAGACACACGACAACCGACACACTTCTCTCTTCTCTCTCTCAACATACCTAAAAACTTCTCTCTCACCGTGCAGCAGGCGTGCACACGCAGGCATCAGGCTGCACCTGCAGCAGGCTGCTCCAGGCTGCGGGGGCGAGCAAAACACGGAGCTAGCATTGTTTGCTTGAGCAAAGGGCAAAAAAAAGCGGCACAGTACTCTATGATAACCCCTAACCCGGGGAAAGGGCGCGAAAGGTTGCAAGTCGCATCGCACTCCAACCCGGTGCCGACTGAGCCTCTCACTTTAATCAACGCCACGACACCTCGAGTCCTCCGCACAACAGTCGGGGGCGGCTCCGACTCACGCGGCGGGTTTGAAGGCGGCGATGAACTGGAGTATCCGCTGCACGTTCGCCTCGAGCGCCTCGAGCGTGTCCGAGGAGAGCTCGAGCACGATCTCCTCCGCGTACGACTCGCGCGCCTCATCGAGGATCACCTGCATGATCTCGGCCTCCACATTCTCGGTCAGCTTCTTCTGCGAGTAGTTTCTGCGGCGGGGGTTAGAGGGGTCAGCCTGCCAGGCTCGGCCAGCCCGGCGCCGCCCGTCACGGCGGCTCGGCCTCAGTCCGCTGAACACGACTCGTCATGCGTCTCCGAGTATCACTAAGCTTTGGGATCATCGCTGGCCGAGACGCGCAGGGTGCGCGCGTATGGGGTGCCTAGGGTCTCTACCCTCGCCCACGCTCGCCTGCTCTGCAGCCGCGAGTAGAGCACGCTGTTGTCGGTGCGAAGCACAACGACGAGGTCAAACCACCGCTCGGGGAAGAGGTCCGCGCCGTGGAAGTCGACGATGACGCCGCCGGCCTCCATGCCCTCCTCCAGCTCGTCGAGGATCCGGTCCTCGTCGAGCACGTGGCACTCGTACTCGGCGTCCCAGCCCGTGTGCAGCTGCTTCTCCCTCACGAGCGCGCCGACCTCGACGTGCCGCATCGACGGCGCGCCCTGCACGACGTACTGCGCGGTGGTGCTCTTGCCCGTCCCGGGCGTGCCGACGATGAGGATGTTGGGCAGCTTACGAGAGGAGGAAGGGGAGGACATATCGTGGGGCTAACGAGGCAGTGAAGCCAGTTGTGAAGCGCTACCCAGGTACGAGGCGTGCCCAAGAAAGTTTTCTTTTTGCGCATTTACTATTTTTGGCCCTATTAATTATTAATCATCGGGCGGGGGCGCGGCGCGACGGCGGGCGGCGCGAGGCGGAGGCGCGGCGAGGCAGCGGGCGACGCAGGGCGGGGCGGGGCGGCGGGTTGGGTAATTACTTAATTATTAATTAATTATTAATTAATGATCATCGGGCGGCGGCGCGGCGCGGCGGCGGGCGACGCGGAGCGGGGCGGCGCGACCATCTGTACTGACGGGGCCTCTGGTCTTTGATGCAGCGCAATGGTCGAGCCGCCCTCGACTCAAGGGGCTGCCTTCCAATCGTCGCTGCCCAGGCCGGGGGAGGGGGGAGACCTCCTGTTCCTCGCGGAACGGGAGCAGGCCCCTCCTTGCCCGGTCTGCGAAGCAGGGCGGTGGTCGTGCCATCTCCGCTTCACAACGACCACGCCGCAATCGTCGCCGGCGCGCGACACGTTTCCGTTGGCGGGACTGTCCTGGTCGAGAGTGTGTGCCGCCGAGGCGGGACCACTCGGGGACAGTGCTGACGGGACGCGCGGCTTGGGAGACGACTCCCGCGAAAGCACGGCTGGCATCCGTGGCGTGGGGCTCGCCTTCGAAAAGTCGGGCATGGCTCTCCCCGCAACTCTATCGCTAACACGCGCGCCCCACCGAGACTGTGGTGGGCGCGCTGCGGCCGCACGTCTACCTCCGTCATAGTGCCACGACGTGCGGCCTAGATTTAGCACACGCGCCTCTGCTCGCAAACACTCACCTAATGAATTGTCATCACCCGTGAGTGTGCGAGATAGGGCTGGCAGCAGGCAGCTAGCCCATGAGGAGAGCGTCCATAGACACCTCACTAGACCCCACATACGGTCTCGTCCGTGCCTCGCAGGCCGGTGAGATTGCTAGAGGTGGAGCAAGCTGCTCTAGCCTCACATGTCACTTCCTGTCGTCTGTTGTTTGAGTTGTGCCCTTGTTTGTGCCCTTGGCACCGTGGAGTGCTGGGGGGGGCGACAGGGAGGATGTGGCCCTGAGTTATGTGTACGCCGACTCAGGGTGTGTGGCAGCCAGCTGGCTGTGTGTCTTGTGAGCCTGTTTGTGTCTGTGTGTCGCTCGTGCGTGTCGTCATCATCTGTCCAGCGTCCACCCATACCGCGTTGGTGTCCAGTCCGAGCCTGGCTGTTCTTCACCTTTCTACCTACCTACCTTGCCCTCCCAAAAAATAGGGTAGATCTGGGTCGGGTTCCCCCCTCTCTTCACGCCGGAATCACAGCATAAAAAGAAATCACGAAGAGAACCCTCCCCAAGTGGTGGGTGATCTGCGGGTGGGTGATCTGGTGCTTGTACAATAGGGCCTGAGTGCTGAGAGTGGCCTGCCATAACTGTCACAGGAAGGACTGTGGTTGCAGGAGAGTACCAACCTTCACTCTTCAGTGCGGGAGCCGATGAGCGATGTGGATCATGCAATTCGAAGCCGAAGCTACAGTGGGTTGCGGGCATTAAGAAAACGTGGCATTAAGAAACCCTACCAAGCGATTTCCGCAAAAATCTAAGAAACCACGGCGCGCCGCAGGCGCGGCCCCGAGAAAAGGCCAGATACGAGTGTGAACGGGAGCCCCAGCTGCAGCTCAAAATTTCTCTTCGCCTGCGGCGCGCGCACTTGTCACTTTTCAAGTCTGCGGTGTTCTGAGACTGAGTGGAGTGGATGGAGGCGTGTGTGCGTCTTCCCGTCATCCAGAGAGCCGACTCGGCGGCAGACTCTGGCATCGCCCTCGCGGACCGCAGCTTACCTCTCACCTACTCGAGTAAAACTCCTTCCTTCGGTCGGGCCGGCTCTGGCTTGAGTGCCGGCCGGAGCTAAGAAACCACGGCGTGGGGTGGATGAGGGCTGTGGAAAGGATTAGAAACGGCGGCGTGCCCGATCCTGTTTTCTTAATGCCCGCAACCCACTGTACCTCACAGGGAGTGTGGTATTGTGGTGCGTCCGTGCGCGAGCGCTCTCCCATGAGCCATGTTCGCCACCATCAGGTTGCCTTCGGGCGTCTGCCTCCCCGTTTTTTTTCTTCTCGCCCAGTCTCGCAGCGCCCGTACCCGGGTATGAACAATACGGCAAATCGTTTTTTATTGTCCCAGAATATGCGCTCGACATCCGAGTCCGTCGGAGTTGAGGAGAGCAACCCGTTCGACCTCATATTCCATGAAATTCAAGGAGGTGCTCGAGAAGCACCGCACGCCACGACGACACATTGACTACGGGTTGCTCAAAGAGAGCATCCGAAGCGGCGTCTCGCGCAAGCGTTTCGAGCAGTTGCTCGCTGATGAGGTTCGCGCTGTCGACGGCGAGTTACAGGCAATGCAGGCGAGTGCAAGCACAACGATTGTCACCGTCAGCGGGTCCTGAGTTTTTGCTGGGCGGAGGTTCGCTGATGAGGAAAGTCATTTCCACCGCCGCTTGAACACCTCGAAGATCTGCGTGAACACCTCGAAGATCTACCGCGCCCGCTTGAACACCTCGAAGATCCGCGTCGATCATGGCGCTGGAGCCATCATGGACGCTCGTGGACTCGGCGGGCGTCGTCCACGTGGTCGCGGGCAGGTCCGCGCTGTCGCAGATGTTCGGCAAGAACACCAAACCGACCTACAACAACATGCTCGAGCTGGTCGGCGAGGGTTCGCGAGGCGTCGTTGGCTACCTTTGCAAGGACGGCTGGCGGATGCTGCGCGAGCTACCGTGGCTGCAGCACAAGGAGAGCAAGCGGATCGTGCCCGTCGTCGGCTCGGCCGCCCAGTTCCTTCAACGTGCAGCAGCCGATGCCGACATGGCGGGCTTCATCTTGAACGGCAAGGCTAGCCAACCCTTCACTCGACTGATCGCACGGCCCGGCGCCAGCGGCATGCGATGGACCGGCGCCGGCTGACCGACTGCACTTCGCGCCGCCGGCGGCTCTCCTGCTCTAGCACGGCGCCAACGTCAACTCGGTGCAG